TATATCATTTATATGTTTTTAATTTAAAGAACTAGAGATTATATAACATTTATTTGAACAGTAATTACAATACAAATTTAATAATAAATGCATAAGGGTGTTTCTTTGGAATGAAACTAAATTTTTATATATTTTAATCCTTACATGAGCATTTTATATAAAATTATAGCAGTATATAAGATATATAATGGCACAATATAGGGATAGCTCAATACTTTCACATCCAAAATATTTTTCTCTTAAAATAATGTCTATACATTTTGCAAAGAAAATAAAATTTGTTAAAAATAGTTATGCTATTGAAATTCTTATTACATGGTTAGTCACAATTTCTGTAATATTATAAAGAGAGCTATCTTGTTGAAACACACACTAGATTATATGTAAGATGTAATGATTGTATTGTGCTCTTTATTTGCATTGTGTTTTGAGACTTTTAAATATTTAGGAGAAATTAGCATGGATACTAATTGTAGTTCTACTAATAATATTTCTTTTGATCAGAGATAATAAAATTCTACTTTCTGAATACTAGGAATACTAATCAAATACTACTTACATAATTCTTTTGACTAGGACATAATAAAACTCTTTCTGAAATCCTTTTTTCAGTGAATTTTATTTTTTAACTATTTTATGTATTAATTATTTTTATTTAATTATTTTATGCCATTTAACCTAGCGTTAAGATATGGGGATATGTTAAGATTTCAGAAAGAAAGAGATGACATTGGTCAAGATATATTGTATTCATTAACATATCCCCATTATATTATATTATAGCAAATAAATAGTGATCCACAAGTGAGTGGTGGAGGCACCCAGTGAGTTTGTTTGAGAAAAACACTCAAAAGTCAAGAGTGATTTTTGTATCTGCATTTTATTTAGATCAATGGAAATGCCTCATTAAACACAAGAGTGTTTAGTTCTAAAATACCTTTGTTCATGTTTCCAGTAATGAGAATTAAGTGGTTTGGAAACTGCTCATCTGTGACATGAGATGTAAACCTGTTCTGTTCACATTTTGCAGAGAGCTGTCGTGAGCAGATCTCATAGACAGTTCTGTTTTGGCTCTGAACTGATGGGAGGGATAGGGGACCATACATAACTTTATCTTGACAGCTTGTGTCACTTTATTTGCATGCCAATCAATAGAATGCCTGTATGAAGATAGCTAATGGAATCATCAGTTATGTGGTATACCTGCAGTTTGCTAAATTTCCAGTAGATGCCTCCAGAGACCAGCCAACTCATTGCTAAGCCTATAAACTTAAAAAAAGGATTTTTAAAAATATATATTAAAACTTTTGCAGCTGTGTGCTGACAGCTCATGCATGTAATCTTAAATACTCACATGGCTGAGATCTGAGAATCAAAGTTCAAAGCTAGCCAGAGCAAGAAAATCCATGAGACGCTTATCTTCAATTTGCCACCAAAAATGCCTGATAATGGTGCTGTGGTTCAAGTGGTAGACACTAGCCTTGAGCAAAAAAGGTCAGGGACAGTGCTCAGGCCCTGAGTTCACTCCATGACTGGCACAAAAAAAAACAACACAATTTTTCTGGCTATATTTGGAAGCATTTGAGAAAAAAAAACAGAATTCTTAGCTCCCCATTAATTCTTTTTAATGTTTATTACAAATATATGTGTGTTAATTAATCAGTAATAATCAATACTATGATGAATAATTTATGAAAGCCTAAATGTATAAAATAGTTTGTTTTTGTTGTAATCCTATGTATTTTTAAAGTCAGTTTCTTTCTAACTTATCTTCTTCATGTATTTATATGGCTGAAGAAATGCTGTATTCCTGTTTTGGGGAAAAGAATACCCTTTTTACACACTCATACACCTATACACACACACACACACACACACACACAACACACACCAACTAATAAACATATTTGAAGAACTTACCTACTTGTCAGTATGTGTACTTCAAGTACAGGGAATCACTACCCACACTAAGAAGTCTGGGTAAGAATACTGATTCACTTTATTTCATGGAAGTTATATGAAGCTGTTTAAGTATTAATTTAAGTCAATGTAATTATCTGTAGGTGATTTTAATAACATTTATCCCCACTGTATGAATGTGAGACTATGATAATTGGCACAGATAACCCACTGGTGACTTATAAATATTAGCTTAATGGAATTCTCATCCTGAAGTTTGATTAGCCAGCACAGATCCTGAGAGTTTATCTTTGTCAGATTAGATAAAATTTATATGGCCTTGTTTTAAAAGTATGGAGTTGTTTTTTTTTTAATTGAGCTGTTTGAAATATTTGCCTGACGGAGATGCTGCACCTTGATACTATAATTTTAGTTCACCCCATGAAGAATTAAATGAGCTGTACCTGTCATGCACTGGGGTTTGTGCATTGGTTTCAATATGAAGAAAATCAAGTCCATTCATTTCATCTACTTGTCTCCTTCATGTGTGTGGAAGCATGTGGTTTTTTTTTTTAATCCATTTAAACCTGCTAGGTCCTTCATTGTGAATCACTTCTATTTAGTCTGCTCTTTCGTGGGTGCTCCCAGTTAGCTGTTCCCTCTTTTTTAAGGAGGGGGATTGTGGGCAGGATAATAATGATCTCTCCTCCAAATCTAATTCAGACATGTATTTGAAGGGGTTAAAAAATTAGTAACTTTCCAGTTGGAGATTACATTATGATTGTCAGATTGGGTCAGATTCTCAAACAAACAGAGTAGATTGAGGCCATCGTGTGAAGGAGGAGGAAAGTAGCTTGGGGGAGGAGGAGGGTAATAAGCTACATTATTTAATATGCTAGAAGGTAATGTAGGGAAGTGAAAAGAACTCAAAATTTGTCACCACAGAGAGCTTGGGGTGACCTTCTACTCTGTCATTGATGAGCTTGTGTGGCTTTGGGCAGCATGACCTCACTGAAGAGAAGGGGGTCTCTGGTTTTGATTTTTGTGAACATGGAAGTGCAGTACTTTACAGAGATACTGAACAAGTTGAAAAATGATAGCCACGCAAGGCCTGATTCACTGCAAATGCCCCATAAATCGTAGCTACAAACCAAGTAGCATTTAAACGTCTAATTACTATCTCCCTAGTTATTGACCAGAAAGCATCTATTTCCAAGACCACTTAAACCACAGCTCCATTTTCAGCTTTTTGCTGGTGAATTAGCCATGAGAGTCACATGGACTTTTCTGCCCAGGCTGGCTTTGAACTGCAACGTTTAGATCCCAGCCTCCTGAGCACTAGGATTACAGGCTGGTGTCACCAGAGGCTGGCTTTGAAATGGAGTCTTGAAAGACTTTTCTGCCTAGGCAGGCCTGGAACTGCTGTTCCTCTCTCCAGCTCAGCCTCCAACACAGCTGGGTTGACAGGCATGAGCCACCAGTGCCTCGCTGTTGTTTTTATGGTTTTATTTTGTTACAATTTCATTTCTTCTTGCATCGGTAGGCTTTCTTCATGCACAGGGAAGCATCAGCATCCAGTGCACAGAGGATGCACTGCCTAGTTGAATCAAGTTGAGTTTCTAGCTCTTGTCTGATGCTCCAGTGCCATGTATTCTGCTTCCTGGGTTCCATTTGCATGTGCCCTCAGACTCTCCAAACTCCAGTTATCTGAACCTAAACTCATCTTTCCCAAGCCCTTGTGCAACCTTTTATATTTAGCAAATCACCAATTACTCGTGGTCCCCAAGTCTGGATCTCACTCTAGGTTCTCTTTATCCTTCACTTCCACATCCATACAGTCACCAAGGATTCCATATTTTTCCCTCCTAAATACATTTTTGGATCCTGCCTGATCCATCACTCATCACCACTGGAGTCTTCCATCTCCTTCCTTATCCCCAGGTTTACCCTCCTCCTCGTCCCTTCTCTTGGATCAGGAGGAAATTTCAAATTCACAAACCCAAGGATGCTCAATTGAAAGTCCTTACTTTTTATCACTTAATTTTAACTCCTGGCCCTGAGCCTCAGTCTTCCCTAGTGTAAAAATCCAATCGTCACTCTCTGAAAATGCAAGACCCATTCAGCGCATCATCAGGTTGCTCAAGATTCTAACATGTCTTCTGTTATCTTGTCTCCCCAGATAGGAACTATTGCATGCCTGAGAGCAAAGGGGAGTAGATAGAGCCAACAAAGATATGCAGAGACAATTCAATTTCAGATTCAAAAAGCCAGACACATTTTTTTAGTGTAAATATGTTGCATGTAGTATTTACAGTGTTCCAATAAGAAAGCAGTTTGTTGGATGGATGGAATATTCATCCATCACTTTATCTCTTTGCGTGAAGTTTATCATTAAAAATAGAAAAGAATAATTTCTGATTGATGTCTTTGTTTATTGAGTTGGAAGTCTTGCTAGGTTGCCCAGCTGAGTTTCGAACTCCTGGACTCAAGTGATCTTCCTGTTTCAGCCTCTTGAGTGTTTGGAGTAACTAAATTGTTAATCTACCAAACTGTTAACTTCACTCTACCTGAAAATTATTTTTGCATATATATGTTTCATAATAGATTGCAATAAAAATGTTCACTACAGAACCTAACTATTAAAGTTCCACATCAGATAGTGGAGAAATGACCTAGTATAGAAAATACATTATTATTAAATGACAAGTTTGGTTTTTTGCCTGGATTATTGGTTTTTGTTGTTGTTCATTCCAACAGTTGGTTGATTGGTTAATTGGCTGGCTGATTGTAGTTGGTTGATTGTTGATAGGTTTGCTGGTTGTAGTTGGTTGATTGCTGATTGGTTGGATGATTGCTGGGTTAGTTTCAATGAGAGGCTGGTGTATCAAATATTTTTGAATATTGTTAGCCAACTATCTTATTTATCTTAAAGGCACCTCAGGTCTGGACTTGATCTGTGTATAATGTAATCTTATTTAAATCATCATATTTAGGTAGCTGCTGGCATGTCGTGGGGAGGGGAAAGTCCCCGTTAATTGTGTGAGAATGCAGACATCAAGCAGACTGACAGGATGAGAGCTGAGCTCTGCTGCATATCTCAGTTTCAGGAACTCATACAAGAAGAGCATCTGCGTGGACATGCTTCGAGACGGCTACCACAAGTCCTTCACCGAGCTCTTCGGGCTGATGGAGAAGTGGGAGTCCCTGAAGAAGGCGGCTAATTTAAAGTCCATCTTCTGGCTTCAGAAGCCTCTGGAGGAGCGGCCGGACACACTGGATCATTTCTACTACTACCTGACCAGGGCTGAGACTGCCGAGAGGGAAGGTGAGTAGGTGGAGGCATGGGGGTGGGAGGCTTGAAGGGATAGACTTCAAATTGTCCCACTAATGAATCTGAAGCCTTAGGACAATAGAGCGCTGTGCACCTAGTCCACTGCCCATGAAATAATTCCAAGGAGTGTGGGAACACTAACTCCCAAGGCTTCCCAGGCTCAGGGGCAGACTTTACATAGCACCTAAGGGCCTCTGTGTGTGTGTGTGTGTGTGTGTGTGTGTGTGTGTGTGTGTGTGTGTGTGTGTGTGTGTGTGTGTTATGTTGGGGGAATATAACAGAAGACAATTGTTCATGTTATGTAATACATTTTAAATTGTACAATTAATGTAAGAATATGATGATTGAAGGTCAAATATAGTGATCAAAGTTCAAAGCCAGCCCAGGCAAGAAAGTCTGTGGGACTCTTTATCTCCAATAAGCTTCCAAAGAGCCAGAAGTAGAGTTGTGGTTCAAGTGGTAGAGTGCTAGCCTGGAGAAAAAACTCTCAAGGACAAGGCCCAAGTTCTGAGTTCAAGCCTCAGCTATAGGACCAATACACACACACACACACACACACACACACACACACATGCATGCATAATCTTAGCTACTCTGGAGGCTGAGATCTAATGATGATGAGTCATCATTAGATGATTTGAATCAAAGCCAACCTGGCAAACAAATCCCTGAGATTTTTGTCTCCAGTTAACCAGCAAAAAGCTCCAACTGAAAGTGTGAGCAACAAAACTAGGTAAGAGTTTGGGGCCCTGAGTTCAAGCCCCAGTAGCAGCACAAATGGATAAAAATTTTAAAAAGTAGTCTTTTGATGAACTTTAAAATATAATTTACATATAATTTCTCAAGAAGTCAATTTCTTTTTTTCTGTTGCTGTTGTAGTAGTGGGATTGAATCCAAGGCATTGCACACTTGAGCCATGCCCTAGCTCTTTTGTTTATATTTTGGTTTTAGATAGTATCATTCTAGAATGTCTTGAGTCTCAATCCTCCTGCCTCTGCCTCCTGAGAAGCTGAGATCACAAGTATACATCAAGAAGTTAACAATTTTAGATAAAATATGTGATTGCAAGAAACCTACACCCCAAGTATTAGCTCCAAATTCCGAAGTGATATTTTTGCTAAAGTAAGATTGCTCAAGGTAAATTTCATCCTTAGTTGTTGTTAGGTTTAAATCTGCCATGGCCACTGATTGAAATAGAGGCTTCCACTTGCATGCTGTATAAGTAAGGGCCAAACATCTGATTTGTTGTAAAGGAGTCAACTTATAAAGCATTTTGTAATTATGAGGAATCTGAAATGCTAGTCTGTTTTAAGATAGCATGCATTTAAATTTCTAACCTTTTATTAAAGTAACGCAATTACACATATAAATATACTCCTCCAAGTTCAAGACTTAATGAAGTCCCACTTTAATAATAGTTAAAGTCTCATGCAAGTAGTAGGAATAACAAAGAACTTTTTCCACTCAGTGCTCTGTCATATATCTGGTGACTGAGTTCAGTGGGGGAGAAGCCATGACCTCTTGCTCAGAATTACTTGAGGGCAGTGCTGGGGGTAGAGGATGGCGGTCCTGGGTGAAATTAAATTAGACAAGTAGAATTCTTGTATGAAGATCATTATGGAAATACTTCCATTGAACAACATGTAGGCCTTTATATAATAACTTTTAAAAATTGAGGTAACATTCTGCAGTCAACACATCAACTATATTATGGAAAAGTAGTGAATTGAATAATGAATGTGTCAGGAAATGGGATCCATACATTCACTTTGATATAATTGAAGTGGTCCTAACCCCTGTGTGTGTATATATGTGTGTGTTTTCAGACATGTGCACATGCATGTCTGTGTGTGTGACATATAGAAATGTGTTAGCAGTATCCCCAGGCCCCCTCCCGCATGGTCCTGGGGTCTGAGACAATCACCCTGAGACAGCATGGCGCTGCACCTCGTGCTGTCGCACATCGGAGAGGCCGCAGTCTGGGGTCACAATGAAGTTCATTTAATCAAAGCTGAGGCACTAACAATGGCCATCAGGTCACTTCTGTCCCTGGGGATTTACAGAGCAGCAACCCAGAGTTATTTAAATTACTTGGCAAAACATCTCTTGCCGTTTTATAGCAAAGTTGTGTTTAAACTCAGTTCCTTCTCTTTCATTCGTTCGAGCCTTGCTTTGTGTCTGTTACATTTCTTATCCTATCTGTCGTGGTGAGCTAGCTACTTCTGTGACATCTGTGATATTGTGATTAGAGTCTTGAGCCCCAAGGGCCTGGGGAAGAGACGGCAATAATGGAAAGGGGAAACCAAATCGATAGATAATGCAAACATTATTTACATTTGACTTTTAAATTCTTGTCAAAGGTTGAGCAGCCTTTTTTCCCCTCGTAGCATTTTGTCTAACTTACACAAAATGTATCCTACCCAGGGCTCCATGTGACACAAGTTTTATACAAAGCAAAACCTAAACACAAGTTGTCTGGTAAAATAAATTTAGCAAGTAGCAGATGTCAACTACATTGAACCCATGGATGTGAATTTATTGCAGGATATATCAGAGTCTTTAATACGTTTGCGTATATTGTGTGATTTATTAACAGAGGAAGACTAGCAAGAAGATCTCCCCAATATAGTTCACCATGAACAATCTCTTCTTTAGGGAGTATGTCTAGAACAAACCAGCAATAGGATTTCATCTTCTGGGTAAGCCCACTGACAAATTGAAAGAAGTGATTCACAGACAAGGGGTAAAGCTGCTTAGAATGTAAAGGGTAGACATAGAAAAATGCCTTAGCTATGCAAGGAATAGTGGTGCATGCCTGTAATTCAAGTTACTCAGGTGGCAGTGGTAGAACTGCAATCTGAGACTAGCCCAGACAAAGTGTGAGATCCTGACTGCAAACAAACTAAGGCAAAAATGGCTGCTACTGGGGGAGGAGGGATGACAGGTGCAAAGGCCTAAATTCAAATTCTAACGTGTGTTTGTGTGTGTGTGCATGCAACTTAAATGGCAGGTTACTTTTTTTCCGATCCTGAGGCTTGAACCCTGGGCCTGGGCACTGTCCCTGAGCTCTTCAGCTCAAGGCAAGAGCTCTACCACTTGAGCCACAGCACCACTTCCAGTTTTCTGCTGGTTAATTGGAGATAAGAGTCTCATGGACTTTCCTACCTGGACTGGTGATTCTCAGATCTCAGCCTCCTGAGTAGCTAGGATTACAGGTGTGAGCCACCAGTGCCCAGCAAAGGCAAGTTACTTTAAATACGGAATCCTGTAAGTGCATATAAGTAAAACTCACTGGCTTAAAACTTCATTAAATGTTGAGAATATTTTTTATTAAAGTTTAATTATTGAAAAATAGGAAAAAAGGCTGTAGGACCACATGCTTATTCTTTAAATTTTTACATATGCCTCTTATTATAACTGTTAAAATATTTTAATTATTTACTCTATTAAAATGTGTAATCTTTTATGTCTAACCCCTAAAATTAGTAACTTTGACCTAGGGATATGACATTTTAAATACTAGACTAGGTAAATATATATATATATATATACACACACATATATAAATAATTATATAACTATATATATGGCTATATAATATGTTTATGTAAAGGAATGTTATAGGCTTTAGAAATTTCTTTTGAAACACTAGAGAGACTTGTTTACAAGCTGCTTTTAGTGTTTAGCCACTTTGCCTTTTCTAGAGCTCTTTGCATTCATTTCTTAGTTGTGCTAGTAGCTAATACTCCACATACTGTCATCTCTTTGGAACTGCCCCTCTGGAGGCAGAGAATTCTGACCCTAACATGCATAATGATGGTTAGGGGAAAAGAAGTTTCTGGAACTGAAACTTGAAGGCCACTCTCCATATTCACAAGTATGCCTAAATAGTAAATGTAAAAACAAAAGTACAGAAAGATCATGAATGTCTTCATTTACCATGAAAGAAGGTTTGCAGAGCTGAGCTCCAATTTACTAATGCAAACATTTTTGTTCCAGTTTGCTACTGCAGTGGGGTTTGTGAGATTTGTTCATCCTTTGTTAACACACTTTTAAAAAATATGTCAGATGCCGCTGGGCACCGGTGGCTCACGCCTGTAATCCTAGCTACACAGGAGGCTGAGATCTGAGGATCACAGTTCAAAGCCAGCCTGGGCAGGAAAGACCATGAGACTCTTATCTCCAATTAACCACTAGAGGAAAGTTTGGGTTTTTGGGTTTTTTGGGTTTTTGGGTTGTTTTTTTTTTTATCATGTAAGATGGAAGTTCCTACATCTGTCTGAGAAGTATCCTAACAGACTGCAAGAACCAAAACAAACCATCTTTCTTCTAGCTATTCGCTATTGTTCAGAGCAATGATAGTGTCACCCCTAATTTTGTCTAAGCTATTAATTATTCCTTTGGTCCCCTTAGTCACTTAAAAATTGAGAATACTTTCAATGTCAACAGATATAGCAAATTTTGATATAGCCTTCTAATTCAGTATTTTTGTACTTTTCTCCAACTTTTTCTACCAATCGATTCTCAGCCCAAAATAGTTTTTCTTACATTTTTTTCTCATTCTTGTCTCAGATTTTAAATGGTTTAAATGCAAGGTATATGTAAACAACTCCTCAGAAAAGAGAGGTACTTTTCACAAACAGCAAATCAAGTCACCAGACCAGCACTTTTTGACATGATGAGTTAAAAACCATAGTTTCCTCTTTCCTTGATGCTATTAACTTGAGTAGTTATATTGAAAATTTTAAACTACTGGTGGTACTGTATTTCAAGGTGATAGAAAAACAGCATTTTTTATTTATATAATCAGGGCACTATTTAACATGACCTGAAGATATTCCCCATGTTTATTGTTATTATAATGATGGTACGCTTGGTTTTGTATGTAATAAAACAATTCCTGTTAAGTTTTTGTGAACTTGAATTTGTTTTTGTTCTGGAAGTCAAACAGAAATGTTATCTAAAAAAAAATAAAATAAAACAAACCAGAAAACCAGAAGTGGCGCTGTGGCTCAAGCAGTAGAGCGCTCGCCTTGTGCTGAAGAACTGAGGGACAGCACCCAGACCCAGAGTTCAAGCCCTACGACAGACAAAAAAATAAATTAATTAATTAAAAATAAAGTCAGTTGCCACTTTGTGGCAGGGGGCGGGGGAAGGGGAGGTGGGAGGAGGAGATTATTCTATTATTCACATATAGAAGGGAAATTTAAAAATAAAAAGATAAAAGGAATGACCAGCTATTGTTCATGGAAAAATATTACCCAGAGAACAGAGGCTTTCAAACCTGCTCTTCCTTAACATTGCTAGAAACTTTTGTTACCAGAAACATTGCTAGAAAATGAATGAAGCTTAAAGAGTTACCTGATCATCACCCTTAGCCCTCTCGGCCATGGAATTTATTCCTTCCTGGTGAAAACAAATGTCTTAATATTGCACCTCCTCTCTGCTTGCTTCACACACATTTTTGCTGTGCTTCAGAAAACTTCCTTTCTCAAACATCCAATAGGAGAAGTATTCGGTGACACCACCCCACTCCTTTCTTTCCCCCCAAAATGGCAATTTTGCTAAAAGGTGTCATTCTGTCCTGTCTCCTCTATAACAAAGTCTCCTGTTTTAACCAAAAATACATCCATTTCCAATCTGTTCTATGTTTTCAGCAAGTCACGTATTATTTTATTCAAGTTTATGTCCTTTTATTAATGTGACTGTCTTCATAGGCTAAATGGAATTTTCACATTTAGATATCGTTTTTCAAACAGTTAAAGAACAGCGTGGAGTACATGTCCCCATGTGATTGCGCAGGTTAAAAGGCTGAGCTGTGGAACTGATAGCATCTCCTCTGTGTTTCTCTCTGAAGGCTACCTGGAAGATGTGTATAATAACCTGTACGCCCTGGCCTGTTACTTTAGTGATCCTGCAGACAAGTGGGTGCGAAATCACTTCTATGAGCGATGTTTCCAGATGGCACAGCTCATTAAGGTTGATGGAGGGAAGAAGGAAGCTGAGTCGGAGGCACACATGGGCCTTCTCTACGAGGAAGAGGGTAAGTGGCCATTGGCCAGACTGACCCTGGGCGTTTCACCCCCAATCAGGCAGCCAGAGCCCATGCACATGGAGGGGGAGTGTGCTGATATCAAGACCTGACCCAAGAAAAAGGACGAAAATTATTGAGGACACAAAGCCAAGTCCATAAGCGTGACCTGTGGAGTCACCTGCAACATATTCCTTAAGAATGTCCATTGCTAGGCCAGTGCTGAAACCTGTGGCTTGGAGCTCCCAGCATGCTCTATAGTCCGCCCCACCCCCTTGAGACTCCCTCATCTCTTAGGTGGGAGATGCGCTGTTTTCATTGTTTTCCTCTCATGAGAGTCCTCTGGTCGTTTTAACTTCTCATATAGGAAAATGTTGGCGAAAAATGAAAGATACATTGGCCAATTCTCCTACATACAATCCATGATTTGTCTAGATTTGCAAATGACATGCTATGGTGATATTATCATTTCTAAACAAAATGCTCCCTTAAGTATATCTTCAAAATTTATTGCACACAAGAATTTAAGAAAATATTTATGAGAGGATAGTGAGTAGATGACATGCAATAGGTATACACATATACACATGATATATTGTACATAATACATGCTGTATATACAATATCTATATACCCGATATATAGTACAAATGTGTGAAGATAAATGATTTATTATGAACATATTATTTCATCTCTCAAAACATTGGCAAAACAGTTAATTTTTAAAAAAAATTGTAGCCAGAATTATGTAAGACTGAAAAATAAATTTAAATCTAAATTGGGTTTTGTATTTCAAGTAGTTAATGAAATTGCAATCCGACAGGTTCTAGAAGGTGCTCAGGATCCACTCATTGTAGTGGAAAGAGGGAATTATGGGAAGTCAGAGTGGGGTGAGAGCTCTTGTAGATGGAGCAGGAGTTAAGATGTGAGATACTTAGTGGAAGGAACTTGGGAGGTACGTGGAGTTTAGGCAGGTAAAGAAATAACTCTGTACTCTGGAAGAAGCATAATCAGAGGAAGGGGCAGGAAGAAGAACCCACTGAAGGCAGAGAGTGTTGTATTTCAGAGCAGTGATGAGAATCACAAGGAAAAGGCCAAATAGCAGCCGGCCAGCATTGAGTTTGGATGACACTTCTGTTCATGGGGGAAGGAGGAGAAGGGAGGAATATGAGTCTTGTGATGTCAACTGTGGGAAGAGTGAGGAGAGAAAGGGGTCAGGGAAGAATCTGCCAGAAGATACCCTGAAAGGTATTTTAAGAAGAGAGGCCCCACTGCAGTGTTCCACTGTGGTGCAGTTTACAGTCGCTCAAAATAATGTTCATGCCACAGAGATTCCTGTTGTAATAAGATTACAAATTCAATCGATCGTGATTCATTCATTCATTGATTCATACAGTCAGTGACCAATATCCAGAATGTCTCCATCTTGTACAACTGAGGCTCTGCACCCATTAAACCACTCCCCATTAAAAACTGAATAAACTCATTGCATACAATTGCTTGCTTTGTTGTTTCATGTCACATTCACACCTTCAACAGACTGAGTATCTTGTGTCCCTGTGGTGAATGACAGTAGCACCCTGGTTCTGCAGCTCATGCCTAGGGGTGGGCACAGTGGCTCAGGTCAAGGATGCGCTGGGGAAATGCAATGTGCAGAGGCCTGTAGGTCTCTGGCTGGCTTGCATTAGATGCTGCATCCTCCCGCATGATAACACACACCCAGGTCCCACAGTAAACAGCATGTTGGGGCTTTGAACTACCTTAGGATTTTGTGTTTGAAATGACTTTACAGCTCCCGTCTGTTATTTTGCTTTGGAACTCTCTCTTGTCAGATCTAAAAACATGTTTTCTAAACCTTTAGATGGTGGATAAACCCTAGAACCAGGCTTTCATTGCCTGATAAATAAAACAACTGTCAGTGTTGATGAAAATATTCTAGAGACTGTTTGATATGCCAAGTGATGATAAAGAAACAAACAAACATCTGCGTAGCTTTTGTAATCTGAGGCAGAATTTTCCGTGGGAGAGTGAATGAGGAGCGAGAGGGGACGGGACTCACCTGGCTGTGGCTCTGGCTGAGGGTGCAGTGGCGTCCTTTCTGTGCATCTGATCTGATTGGTCCAGACAAGCAACAGCTAGGCGGCAGCTGTGCTGGGGGGGCAGGTGGCTACCTCCTGCTTCCGCGGGTGCCCCCATTCAGGTTAAAAGAGGACACCAGCCAGCAGATGGCAATGGGCAGGTTGTCAGGGCCCAACCAAGCCGGCGATAGTCCAGGGCAAGCCTCCAGCTCCCTCAGGGGACTGTGGAGCAAATGAGGAACATGAGCTGAAGCCATTTTCACAGAGACTGGGCACATGGTTGCAGTCGGGGGTGATGTTCAGCCCACTGGCACAAATGTAGCTAGGCCCCATGCAGAGTGGAGCACAGCAGACAGATTCAAACCCCCACCACCGCTGCTGACAGTGGCCCCAGTGGATGGTGTGGCCTTGTTCCCATTGGCTCAAGGGCTGGCAGGTTCATTCTTTACATCAGCTCTCTCTAGTAGGCATGCATGGATCCTGGATTGGCAAACACTTGTAGCAGATCTCTGGCAGTATCTTCCTGTGGAATCTTCCCTTGATTGGGAAGGATCTGTCATGCAAACTGGACGCACAGGCAAGGAGAATTCGGAACACATCCCTGGGTCCCTGGAGAAAATGCTCCAGGCTGGATCAATATTCAGTCTAGAGCGGTATTCTGAGCTCTGGCATGGCAGATGCTGGGCAAGCCCTGTCCTCTCCTTTCCAGAGAGAGAAGGGGCCTTTTCAGACACAATCAGGGAGGGACCAACTCTTCCTCTCACAGAAGGCCAGAACCCACAGAAAGCTGATGTGGCACAGCCTCAGCTTCAGTCCTCTCCAGCCACGCTAGCCTCCGGGGTCTGGTGCAGCATCAGGTCCAGAGGACCTGAGGACCCGGGTCCATGCATCATCGACAGGACATTGGGTGAGGGATGGATGCAGACTCTCAGAGGGCTCACTCCTTCCCCACTTCTCTCTGTAATGACTTAGGAACCGATCATATTCTTGCTTTTGACCTACTTTTGACCCACTTACTAGACACCAGTGCTAAGATGAGCTCATTCCCCCAGGGCCCAAAGGAGGCCATCCTCTTTGAGGAAGGACTGGACTAAAAGGACTGGTGTTGGACTAGTTAGGTCTTCCTTTCCGGACACCTTTTATGCTGCCCCTGTTCCCACAGTTCCAGTGGGTGTCTTCCAGGCATCCTCTTGCACTTTTCCAGTAGCTCATGCTATTGCCGATTGCTGCAGGACATAGGAGGATGACTTGCTGCTCTCCTGGACCGTACATATGAGGTGCTTGCGTGATCGTTGAAGACAGGTGCAGGTAGGGGACACCCTTGTAGGAACAGCTTAGAACAGCCTGTCTCGTCTCTACCCAGGAAAATGACAGTCAACCGTCAGTTCTAGGACCTGAACAGAGTAAGTCAGCCAGGACAGCCCACTCTTTCTGAGGAAGTTCCCCTGGTTATTGGGAGAATTGGAGACCAATACCACAGATCTGGATTAATCTCTACTTAGCCCAGGCTGTCACACAGGAGGGAACCCAGCCATCTAACTATGAGGCCTCGCCTCATAAAAGTTCCTTCGCCTCCCCAGAGCACCGCAGTCTCTCTGGCCTTCAAGAGATACACTGGAACCACACTACAGGGTGGAATGGTAAACTTGATAGAGGAAGTGAAGACTTAACCCCCAGTACCTGAAGAATGTGACCTCAATAGAAAGTAGGGTCACTAGGAGCCAGTGGCTCACACCTGTAATCCTAGCTACTGAGGAGGCTGAGATCTGAGGGTCGCAGTTCAAACCTAGCCTGGGCAGGAAAATCTGTGAGACGGTTATCTCCAGTAAACCACTCAAAAAAATCTGGAAGTAGTGGTGTGGCTCAAGTGTTAGAACACTAGGGTTGAGTACAGGGATGCTCAGTGACAGTGCCCAGACCTTGAGTTCAAACTCAAGGACCGACCAACACACAATCTGCCAATGGTCAGATTAAAATGAGGACATTGTGATGCCAGGCACCAGTGGCTCTTGTAGCCTGTGCAAGAAAGTCTGTGAGACCCCTATCTCCAAGTAACCACCAAAAAGCCAGAAGTGCAGTTGTGGTTTAAGTGGTAGAGCACTAGCCTTGAGTAAAAAACAACAACAACTCAAGGACAATTCAAACCCCAAGGCCCAGAGTTAAAATCCAGAGCCAGCACAAATAAAAAGAAGACCAAAGTGGGGTGGGGGAGGTAGGATGGAAGGCCTTCATCCAAAATGACCACACCCTTATAGGGTGGGGAACAGTGGCTGCTGAGCCAGCCAGGGGCAGAGGAGAGATGATGGGAAGACACAGCGACACCATCAACAAGCCAGGCCACATCCCAGGCCACCCAGGCCAGCATGAGGCAGAGGGGAGGATGTTTTCTCATAACCCTCAGAAGGAATCTGCTCTGCTGACATCTTGGTTTGGGATTTCCAGCCTGGACTTCCAGTCTGGACTTCTATCCTTGAACTTCTGGCTTTCAGAACACTGAGACAATGCATCTCTGTTGGTGATCAGCCATGTCATTTGTGGTAACCCCAGAGAGCTAAACCAATGTACAACCTAGTGACAGTGGTTTCTTTAAGGAACCAAAGATATTATTACAGGGGGAAACAAAATAAAACGTCAACAATGGGGTGACATCTGAAGAATGTGAGGTGCCTTCTTTTTAAACTCTTGACATGTCAAAGTTTGGGGGTGGTGATCAATTGAATCCTATCCAAAGTGACACAAGATGATAAACAAAAACTCCTTAATAGCTCATATGAATAGTCTTTTCCTAAAATTTTGGCTTTTTAAAGAATATATTCTATATACCATTATAAATGTGGCTTTATTTTTATTCTTTAGCATTTGAAAAGAGTTTTATGATTGCATTGCTCAATTCTTAATAAAAAGGTAAAAAAAACACAATAATTTAATACAATC